CAGAGTGAGTTAAAAAGAGCTTTTTTGGGTTTTTTTTGCACTACACATCTGGTTTCTGAGTATGTGCTGCAGAGCTGCTGTGAAACACCTCCCAGCATGGAGGGAGCTCCCCAGGCTGCGGAAAGGCAGGCGTGTAGGACTGCAGCTCACGGGAGAAGGGAAGGACGGGTGTCCCCTCCGGGGTGAAGCATGTGCCTGCCCGTGCTCACCTGGCATCCGCCTCGCTGTAGTACTCCCTGGCCACAATGTCTTCAAACAGCTCCCCACCGGTGACCCTGGGAGAAAGCGTGGGGGAGACACGTTCGGCCATCTCAGCACAGCTCCGGAGGGATGGACTGACGGCACGCTCAGCCCTAGCAAACCCCCCCAAGTGCTGCTGCACCATGCACAGGGGAACCATTGGGGGTGCAAAGCGGGGACCTGCCCTCTGCCCAGCTTGGAGGATCCAAGCCGGGTTCAAACGCTGCCCAAGAAAGACTCGGGTGAGGTAGAGGAAGGAGTAAAGCTTGGGGGGGATGTGGGGGTGCAGGGCACATAACCCAGAGGTGGAAGCATGCAGGTGCTGGTGGATTGAGGTGCATTTAACCCTTACTCACAGGTCAAATATCAGGTAGTGGTGGCCCTCTTCGGAGATGCTGTCGTGGAGCCGCACTGTGGCAGAGACAGAAGGGTTATGGGGTACGCCTGGCTCCTTCCCCGCTCCCCGCAAATACCTTTGCCCCCCTTTGGGCACAAGCAGGTGCTGGGGAAGGGCAGAGTGGGGCTATTCTTCCTCCCTCCTCTTCTTGGCTGGGTGAGGGGGTCCCTGTTTTACAGGGGACCCCAGCCATGGCCCCAGCCTCGGGCAGTAGTGCAAGGCTCAAAGGTCACATCCAAATCAGGGGCTGGTGCCTGGCCGAGGTCCCGGGCAGCTGCCGGGCTATCTTGGGCGCCGGGTGCCCCCAGCCCTCTGCCCCATCAGGAGGGGTGCCAAGGCACAGGCAGAGCTCAGCCAGGGCACTGGGCTGCCAGCCCGGGCACCCACAGGGCTTTTTTTATTTCTGATCATGACCTTTCCTTTTCTCCTTGGGACGTCTCAGGTTGGGGATATCCAGGAATCACCACGGGATGAGTTTCCTTTGGAGGAAGCGCTCTCCCCGACTCCAGGGCTGGCATCTCGCCCCATCACCAGGCTGAGGGGCACCCTCTGCCCTTGGGCATGTCTCGACGGGTACAGCTGGCGGCAAACCTGCCGCCCCGCAGCTGGGGGCCGGTACCTCGGGCTCAGACCCCTGCTCACAGCTCGGCAGGCAGGGGAAAGGCACAGCATCGGGTAGGATGTACAGAGACTGGCCAGCATCCTCTGCCCCCCATCATGTGCTGTTGGGATTTCCTCGAGGCTGTAAACATTTAACCCTTCTTCTCTGTTCACCCAGCTTCAGCCCGATACAACTTCCAACCTCTCTGAGATCTTTGGAAAACAGGGAGGAAAAGGAAACAGGTAAACAATTTTGGGGGAATTTTTGCTCCTAGCCCACTCCACCGCAGCTAAACCAGCCAAGCCCCATATGGAAATACATTCCCTGTATGGAAACATCCTGCAGACTCGAGTCTGATGGGGGGAGATAAAAGCCAAGTGCAGATGCTGCCTGCGTCGCTCTTACCTTCCAGCCCAGCAAATGCCCCTTGGCGGGTCCTACCCCTTCCTCCAAGCTCGGGGCAGATCCAGTAGCTGCCAAGAGCCTCCCCCCAGCCAGGGCAAGGCCAGAGGGGGGGTCTGCTGAGCCGGACGGCAGCTTTCCGCTTGGTCTCACCTGTGGTCTTCACTATTCCTCATTTCACCCCTCCCGTTACCCCCACTGCTGGCCTCCGCACACATCCCCTGCACTCGGACTCCTGACTCAGCTCCCTGTTTTTCCCTGACACATAATCCCAGCTTTTCTGCCTCTCTCTGTTGGAAGAGGCACGCTTCCTTCCGTTTCATCTGAGGATTGGGGGGTATTGCGCCCGGGATCCCGCAGAAGCCCACGTTCAAAGGGGGATTAGGCGAGTTTGGTGCGGATAGGGCCAGCGTAACTCTAAGCAGATGGTCTGGATACCTCCGCTGCTCGGGGATGTCCCAGTGCCTGTGGAGCCAAGAGATGTAAGGAGCAGCCCCTCTAATTATAGCCTGATCCTACACATACCCGTTCTGACCATAGAAAGAGCCAACATGGCTCGGGGACACAGCTCTGGGACACAGCTCTGGGACACAGCTCTGGGACACAGCTCTGGGACACAGGAGGGTCCAAAGGCGATGAGGACCTGGAGTTAAAACTCCAGGGCCAGCTGTAGCCAAACCTTCCCTGATAAAGCACGAGTTCCCTGCAAGGACAGGCAGCTCTGGGAAAGAGCAGCTCTCCCTAATACATCACCTGGTCCCGCGGATGTGCTGGG